AAATAAAAATTAACCAAAAATAAAAAACATGATCCATGATTGTGGAAATTATACAACAGTATAATTAATGTCACATGAAACCAAAAATTATGGAGTTATTGTTTTTTAAAGCTGGAGCAATATGTCAACAGAAAACTGTAAGAAATTCAAGTTTAATTTAGAAGAGGGCATATAATGAGGGATACCATTGCTGATATCAGGTGGACGATGGCTCAAAGCAGAGAAAACCATAAATATGTGTACCTGTGTTTTACTGACTATATAAAGACATTCAATTATTGACATAACAAATTATGGGTACTATTGTGACGAACAAGAATCTCAGAACACTTACTTGTGTTAATGAGGAAACTGTACATAGATGAAGCAGTATTCCTTAGAACAAGTGGATAGTATATGGTTTCAATAAGAAATGGTGTATGTTAGGTTTATATCTTTTCACCACATATATTTAACTTTAAGTATGGATTACATATTAACAGAAAGAAAACAAAAGTCCTCACAACTGAACCAATAAACAACATCATGACAGAGAAAAAATTGAAGTCATCTAAGATTTCTTTTCCATGGGATCAACCATGAATGCCTATGAATTAGTGGTTATGAAATCAGATTATATGTTATTTGCATTAGACAAATATGCTGCAAAGAATATCTTTAAAGAGTTAAATAAAAGCATGCCATTTTGAATACCAAGTGGTACTTGCCCAAACATGACATTTTCAATTGTCTTATATACATGTGAAAGCTAGGTGATTAAAAAGGATTATGAATAGGAGTAGTGCATTTGAATTGTAATGTTGACCTAGAGGGGTGTAGTGAATATACCATGACCTGCCAAAAGAACTAACAAATCTGTCTTGGAGGAAGAGCACCCAGAATCCTCCTTAGAATGAGGCAGACAGTCTTTGTCTCACATGCTACAGGCATGTTATCTGGAGGGATTAGACCCTAAAGAAAGGCAACAGACTTTAAGAGGGTCAGTGAAAAGAAGACTGTGAGAATGATCGGCAATGGGCTCAAGCATAGTAGATATTGTGAAGATGACATGGTACTGGGCACAGATTCTTCCTTCTGATTCACACAGGGTTGTTTTGAGTTGGAGTCAATTCAAAGCACCAACTCAAAAAACATATGCTAGGGAGCTCTGGTGGCTTGGTGGCAAGAAGCTGCCCTTCAATCCCAAAGGCACCTGGTTCAAGGCCACCAGCTGCTCCATGGGAGAAGGATGGGCAATCTCTTAGATTGGAGACTAAGTGGTGCTCAGAATTGGCTCCAACATATGCTATGTATATATTTTAAACTACCAATATAAATAGTGTGGTGGAGGTCAGTTAAGAGGGGGATTTTTTATTAATAAATAGCCTTGAAATTTTTTTATATTTTTTATAGAATTCATAACCAAAATCTTTGTTATATTTATCAGTCTAATACAAAGATCACCAAAATTCTTTGTTTAAACTTTATATGTATTAAAAATTAACTCTAGTAATTGCTGCCCTTACTCATACTGAAATCATTTGCCTTTAGTTATATTGGTGGCAAAAGGGCAAAATCAGCGTCAGTGGTAACATTTATTGACTCTCTATCTAAAGTATCTCTGGCCTTGGGAACCAAGAAGGAAAGTCAGATGCCCAACAGTAGATTTGACTTTCTCTCACAAGATGTAGTTTCATTTTTAAAAACCACATTGAGCAAGGAAATTTAACCAGACAAGGAACTGTACTTAACGTCTGTCACAAAGGAAGACTTCAGAGCAACAATTTCTGCTCATTCATTAATGAAATCTGGGGAAAAAAAATATGTTCAATGAGTAAACACACACTCTCTCCAAATATTATTTTGAGAAGTCCTGACTACACTTTGGAATGTTCCACTTAACTCAGCTCTACTTTTGAATATGTATTGAAGTCTAGGGGCCATGGCACAATGCATCTTTTCCCTGACCACTCAGAGCAAAAAAAATCCCAAATAAGCCATCTCTACGTTCAGGTGCACTTTCTAGAGCATCCCTTACCTTCACATAGAGGTAAATCTCAGGTTGTGTGGAGGATGCTTCAACTTCTTCCCAGTCATTAACATTGGAATAGCCAGTGGGTGGTTCTACGCTGGTAGAGAAGGTTTTGCTATGATGGATGGTGAAGCTTGAAGGAGAGGGCAGGTCTTCTTTCATCACACTTCCGTTCTCCCGGGCCTCCTCTGAGAAAGGTTCTTCTAAAAGGAATCCCTGAGCCTGGACTGATGGGCCTGATTTTTCCATCAAGCTATCTGTATCCTCCTGTAGATCCCCTAGTTGAGGACTCTGGGCCTCAACCTGCACCTCATCAGGCAGGAGGTGGCCCTCTGCTTCTGATTGGGAAGAGTCTCCGCTGTTCTCAACTCCAGCAACATCGTCATACTCACAGGTTTCCAAATGGGTAGCATATACATTGATTTCTGGCTTCACATCTACGTAGATGTCATCATATAGGGATCCTTCATTTTCTCCTGGATTATCTGGAACTTCATACGCCTCCTTTTGGATTGTGTCATAGATATTGCTGTAGTCTTCGTCAGTCATGTTTATTGATCTGAAAGATCCTTGTGCTGGGAAATCTGAGGAGATGTACAGTAAATAAAGGGATCAAGGATGCTGTACAGCCTTTCAGATGAATCAACAGGCTTTTGAAATGCAGAAACTAGCACCAGCTATCTGTGATAGGTCTCTCTCTAACAATCATTTACAGGAGACTTTAATCAGCAAACCACAAGTCCACTGGACAAAAGATAAAGCTTACACAGGCAGTTAACTCCTTCGCTCCTAACGACTCTTTTACCTAGGCTCTAGAGCTTCCTCATTGCCTCTAACTTCAAGATTCTTTAGATGAATCAGGCTTGAATTCTTTTCTCTGTGGACATTGAAATTCTGAATGCCACTTGTCACTAGGTAGAGCTCTCCTAATTGTCTACAAATGTTGACAAGATTGAATAAATCCTTATCATTCAGCAAGAGTTCCTTGCAATAGCAACCCATTTATTTACAGATGAATCCACCAAACAATACAACCCTTGTATATTGACATCACCTTACGAAAGAGTTTTATACATGTTCCAGTTAGGAAAAAGTTTTGTTTACACTTCTTATCTGAGAACACCACTAGGTGTTTAAGTGACAGAAAAAGATGATGAACACGCTGGCTTATGTGCACATCTAAAGATGTAGTCAAACCATCCAAAGTAAGAGATTTGAAGATTTAGGTTTAGGTTTTATTTCTCCCCTTTAAATCTGTAAGCCCATCTCTGCCAACAAATATTCACTCAGAAGATCTTGATTATAGGAAGCTGAAATGGACACTGAACATATAGGAATTAGAAGATAAAGTCTCTATTTGGTTAGTTCGTACAAACTGTAAATACTGGGTTATCCAACTTAACTCAAGAGCATCAGTTTATAACTAATTAACAATATCATTAATGTCATGTGCAAGTAAAATCCTGTCGAAGATAATAATTTTTTAAAAAGCATCTGTTTAGCATTTGAATTGCCAATTTATTAATTACCCTCCAAACATAACTGGATAGGGTATTCCTTGGAAAGGGACATCATACTTGGAAAAATGGAGGGTCAGTGAAGGAGAGGAAGATCCTCAATGAGATAGATTGACATGGTGACTTCAGCAATGGGTTCTAATATGTCAGAGATGATGAGGATGGGGATAGGGCAGGGTTCAAGTCAGGTGTTCATAGGGTCACTATGAGTTGTACTAGACTTGCTGTTTAGTGCCATCGAGTCATAGACAACTCATAATGACCCTGTGAAGAAAAGACCTGAACATTAGTATAACTTTTATCATTTTCCCAAGTTCATAGAGTTTCCAGAGGCAAGCTGCTTCCAAGCCTGTTTTAATCTGGGAGCTCCAACAAACACTGTCCATCATGGGTAAATATTATCACATTTGGCACATCAGGGTCAGAGTGTTTAGCATCACAGCAACCACGAGTTACCTCTGTACAGCAAATGAACAGACCAGTGCTGTACCACTTAGAAGAATGTCTGACCAATTAAAACCAGGCCTACAGGCCATAGATTAAAATCACCCACCTTTGGCTTGGTAGCATAATTTTATACATAAAATTTCAAAGGTAGCATAACTTTCTATCCACGAGGCCAACAGAGCTCTCTCTATGACTCACAGCAATTCTGTGAACAACAGATTGGTACCTAATTGTAACAACAAATATAACGGACACGTTTACTTACATACTGGTTTATGACAATAAGCATCATTTCTTCATAGTTGTTGTTGTGTGCTGTTGAGTCAGGACAACCTCATAGCTGACCCTGCAGCTGATTTTCAGAGGCAGTAAATCACACAGGAGGACCCTGCCCATCATTCTTCTGCAGAGCAGCTGGAGGATTAAAAGCACGTGCCTTTGGTATTGCAGTGCAGCTGCTTTACCACTAGGCCATCAGAGCTTCCTGTGAACAGTCAGCACAGATTCTAAACTGGTCATCCAAAGTGACTGTCAGCACCAAATCAAATACTGTCTTTAAAACCTGATTCTGTCAGCCTGGCAGGTAAGTTCCTTCTATCTTCTGCATTTTTCAAAGTAGCAAATTCTATATAAGGAAACAAATCAAAAGAATATTCTCATACTAGTTAGTAAGCTTTAAGGTAATTCTTTTTGTCAAGTTTAATATCGTAACTATTTTCTTTTTATCAGCTTCACTAAGGAATTAAAATTGTATTCCTCTTTTTGGGAAATGATTTACTTTATTAATGGCCTCTGCAATTATTTTTTCAATAATATTATTTTATGTTCTTATCATTTTTATTTCACTTTCCCCTATTTTTTTCATTCTATTTTGATTTTTTTTTTACTCAGAGATAATGGAAATAGACTTTTTTCTGGTTGCTGTGATGCTGAAGACTGTGACAGTGATGTGCCAATCGTGATAACGGGTACCCATGGTGGACAGGGTTGGCTGGAGCTTCCCGACTAAATCAAGCCTGGAAGCAGGAGCGGCATCCACTTCCAAAATGGCTTGCCTCCGGAAACTCTATGTACGAACATTGCTCAGGCTGTTCATTCATAGGGTCGTTATGAGTCGTCTATGACTCAATGGCATCAAACTACAACAACAACAGTACATGTGTTTAAGACTATGCATTTCCTGTTTACATATAGCTTTAGAAATATCCCACAAATTAGTTTTCTTTTTGCTTTTCTGTAAATAAAGTTTTGTTAGCAGTTTTACTCAACTCTTTATGTATTGTCTAGGGTCATTTTGTGTGTGTGTGTGTGTGTGTGTGTGTGTGTGTGTGTGTGTGTGTGATTTGAATGAAATTTGGTAGTGAAAACGAATTTTCCATTCAACCACTCAGACATATTTTATGAGACAAATTGCAATACATGAGACGTAACTGGTTTATTCTTGGCTCCTCCTTGTAATTTTCATTCCCATGAGTCTTCCCATCTTAACCTATCCTGTCTTTTGAGCTTTATCCTATGTAAATGTTGAATTATTTTTCTCTTGTGTGGTGGATTTCTCTAAGGAAGGATCCTTTTCTGATATTATTGTTCACCTTACATGGCTATCAATTGTTTGAATGAAAATTTAGTCACTTTTGTTCCAGATTTGAAGGCCATAATCTTAGAAGACCCACCAGTCTCTCTCAGAAAAATAAACAAGCAAACATTTATATTTCTGAATTTTGTTCCACATTGTTCACACCTCTCTCTTAGGCTTCTACTGTGATCCCTACCAGCAGTGACTGCCAACCACAATCTAATTCTTTTGGCCACCGGCTCAGCCTCTAACACGTGTTTACATGTTTTCTTTCATTGTTATTCAGTCAAAAATACTTCATTTTCTGTTATTTTACTTGTCTGACTCATGGGTCATTTATATCTTGTTGAATAATTTACAAACAGCTGAAGATTTTTTTTCTTAGTTAACTTTTAGCTTAATTCCACTGTGGTCAGAAAGAATTTTGTTTAGAGGTTTGCATTATGACCCAACATATGGTAAATACTTAAAACAGTGTCTCAGCGGCAGGCTGAAACATGATCATTCTGAGGATAGCTCAGACTTGGGAAGCATTTCATATTGTTGTACATAATATTGTCATTAGGTAGAACACCACCTAACAACAGCAACTACAATGTACAATGAACATTAGAATGATAGAATAGTGCATCATCAATAATTTATTCATTGTAAATGGCTTTCATAAGAAAACACAAACAATGGGTCTACATAGGGACCTTGCCTGTTGATCTATACAGGAATCAAATTGATTACATCTGTGGGAAGAAGTGCTGAAGAAGCTCAAGATCAGCTGTAAAAACTAGCCCAGGTGCTGGTTGTGGAACAGACCATCAAATACTTATATGTAAGTTAAAATTGAAGCTAAAGAAAGTGAAATAAAATCCACAAGAACCAAAATTCAACCTTGAGTCTATCCCACCTGAATTTAAAAACCATCTCAAGAACAGGCTGAAGCCTTGGACACTAACGAACAAAGACCAGAGGAGCTGCAGGAAGATATCAAGAGTATCATCCATAATGAATTTTCAAGGGGATAGAAAAGCAATTGTTCAGTTTATTTGGAAAAGAAATAGACCCCAAATAAGCAAAGCACTTCAGAAAAACAAAAATGAAGTGGGAGACATAGCACTCCCTGATCTTAAAAACTACCACACAGAAATAGTAACTAAAACATCATGGTACTGGTACAATGATAGGAACATAGACCAATGGAACAAAAATGAGAACCCAGAAATTAACTCATATATCTGTGGTCAATTGATATTCAGCAAGGAAACAAAACCTATCAAATGGGGAAATGACAACCTTTTCAACAAATGGTGCTGGCAAACTGGTCTGCTACCTACAGAAAGCTGAAGCAGGATGAATCCAAGACCTTGGCATAAAGCTTCAGATTATAAAGATCATAAGAGATAAATTGGGACCAAGCTTAGAGGCCTTGCCTATGATATAAAGAAGCTGTCAAATACAGACAGAAATACGTAACCAAGAGAGAATAAAATTGATGAAAGGAACCCTATAAAGATTAAATCTCTATATACATCAAAAACTTTCCAATAGGGTGAAAAGAAAATCTACTGACTGGGGGAAAAAATATTTGGCAATACAATCCCAGACAAAGTTCTAACAAAAGTTCACAAAATCCTGTAAGTCCTACACAAGAAAAACACTAACAACACAATCATAAATTGGCAAAAGACATGGAAAGACTCTTCACAGAAGAAGACATTCAGATGGCCAACAGACACATGAAGAAATACTCAAAATTACTGGCAAAGACACAAATCAAAATTACAATAAGATACCATCACACCCCAGTAGCAGTGGAAAAGTTTAATTGGACAGCAAGTAATACATGTTGGAGAGGATGTGGAGAGATAGGAACTCTTCTACACTCTGGGTGGGACTGTAAAATGGTACAACCACTCTGGAAGGAAGTTTGGCGTTTCCTCAAAAAGCTGAAAATAAAAATTTCATATGATCTGGCTATTCCACTGCTTAGAGTATACCCTGAGAAAATGAGAACT